AAATCATTTTGATTCATCATAAATCTTCAAAATGGAGGCCATTTTAATTTTTTTAAGCTTAAATTACAAAAAAATGGCAGATTTTATGAAAAAACGACAAGAACATTTTTATTTGGAATTTTAAATTCCCTATCAAACGATACCAAGCTCAAAAAGATTGAATAAGAGATAGCTGAAGTATCACGATTTTTAGTTGTAAAATGGGACAAACCTGACTAGCTTAGCCTTTTTCTACCCAATTTTACAACTAAAAATCGTAATATTTCAGCTATTTCTGATTCGATCTTTTTGAACTTGGTATCGTTTGATAGGTAATTAAAAATGCCAAATAAAAGTGTTTTAGTCATTTTTTCATAAAATCTGCCATTTTTTAGGAATTCGATTTAAAAAAAACTAAAATAAATGGCCACCATTTTGAAATTGTATGATAAGTCAAGGTTAATTTTTTTTACATGGGTCTCTCTCTATATCATCTATGCCAAGTTTCATAAAGATCGGTTGAAAAACTTTAAAGATAAAAATGGTAATGTGAAAAAAATGAAATGGCGAATATCTGGTTAATGAAGCGATTTTAGAAAAAATAATGCTATTCTCGATTTTATTTTTATATTGACCTATAGAACCATTTTGGAAGACCCATAGAGTTTGGCTGTTTACTTACGGGACACCCATATAAAAGGGTGACCACCACCGGGTAATCCGGGAATTATGCATGATTGTTGTATTTCTACCTGGAATTGTCAATTTACCACGATCGCGCATGACAACAGTGACCTTTACATGATCGCGGGAGACGATAATATGTCAACACACGGCCAAGAGGGATGATCAGAATATTACCGCGATCGCAGAAGACGATGATAATTTTTAATTTCTAGTTGACCGCGGGAAACAGTCAGAATTTTACCGCGATCGCGCAAGACAATAATAATGTCCACACGACCGAGGGAAAAGATAAGAATTTTGCCTCATTAGCGGTAGACGACGATAATCTCTTCACGACCGCGTTATATGTTCATATATTGCCGCGATCATGGAAGACAATAATTATGTCTACACGACCGTGGGAAATATTTAGAATTTGCCGCGATCGCGAAAGACGATAATGATGTCAACACGGCCACGTTGGATTATCAGAGGTTTACCGCAATCGCATGTAAATACAATTACAAAATATTTTTTTTATTTTCCAATTTTTGGCGCCCCTCAAAAAAACCAATTGCCTAGCGCCCTAGGCACGTGCCTACCGTGCCTATTCGGTAAATCGGCCCTGAATAACGGGAAACAAATTGTAAACAAAACACGACCTCTACATAAACCGTACAGAACTAACAATAAAATTGTCTTCAGCTGTTTCATAAGGATGAGAAATCTACTAAGGGAGTATGTTTTATCTATGGTATAACTAAACTTAGACGCAATGTAACATTAACTCGGTTGTACAATAATATAAATGAATTGTCTGATAGTTATCTTAGCTAGAAGTTGTTCAGTTGTTTGGATTTTCCCTGAATTTTACTTTAATAATCTCTCATGAAGCTCATTGTTCAATTAAGTCTTTTTTTCATTGTTTAGTAATCAGTTATTGACATTTTTTAGACGATTTTAAAAGGCATAAACATTAGTTGCATTGGGACTAAAGACCTAAAACCTCATACACGTTGGGTTGATATAAATCATGGTATATTTTTATAAAACAAAATGAACAATGGATTTAAGTGAATTCACTAGTGACTCTTTAAACCTGTTTGTTCTTACCCTAACAGTCTACTCTGTAGCTTTTACCTGACAAATTACTGTGAAAAAAATATTCTACCGGTCTAAAACGTTATCGAGAAAATAGCATAATTATTTTAATAATGTATTTTTAAGCTGGGTCAATGAACCTGAGATATTGAGGGATTGGAAAAATGATTTAAATAAAGATCTTCCCCAAAAATTGTTCTTTTATTGTATGCAAATACAATATCACACAAATAACAATAATAAAAATTTAAGTATAAAACAAATAAAATAATTAAAACAATCTACTTCTAAGGAATGATGAGTATATTCTATATTGTAGATTTACATTAGTAAATACCTAGTTTATATTAATCTTAAACAAACCAAAAATATAAGTACTGTATGTAACAGATATTGTTTTACCTTGTTTAAAATTACAAGATGACATTGAAAGGAAGTATACCATCTTTAAATGTTGGCAGTTTAAATTTCCTTAGCAAACCACAACAATTAAATTATTGTCGGACCTCCCAACTGATGATTTATAAAGATTTTTTCAATTTGCCAATTCAGTTTGAACATATTTTTAAACTTGAAAAAATATGTTTAGCTATGTAAAGCATCAAAGCATATTTGTGTTTAGAAAGCATCAAAATCCAAATTGGGAACTACTTCTACAAAGAAAATTTACCCTAACTCACAAACTAATTAATTTTTTGTCATACTGCAGCAAAAACAGCCGTTTTTAATGCATGTGTTGCGGGTCTAAAGTAGCACTTTTAGTCTCTAGGGAGTAGGGAGCTGTTGAAAACAGTTGTAAATTTCGATTTTGGTAATCGTATCGATTGAAATTATTTATCCATTAATTTATTACGTAAGGAGGTTAGCCTATTGTTGTCGATTGTTCGACATATTATGGTATAATGTACTGTAACACAATCGTAATAGACGAAATGATTGTATCACTTACTAAACAGCTTCTTATTTGCATTAGCAGAATTGAAAACAAGCTGGAAGTCGTTTTGAGAGGTTATCTTTACATAAAATTATTTTGTTTTCTAGCTTTGTTTGTTAATTAATGATGCAATATGACAAAAATATAGTTCACCACACGGGCAAAAAGTGACTTTTTAACCCTTGCTCATTTTCCGACCTCCGATCCTAAAACTTGACCTCGGATCAACAAGAGTCACTTTAAGCCCTAGTTATGAAATATACTATTCTATGATGAAAATCACTTTAAATTCTCTTCAGTAAATAAAATTAGATTTAAAAACTGGCAAACCAAATAAATTAACTAAGAGTAAAATATAAGCACCATAACAAATTTAATCAAACCATCCAATCACACTAATTCATTATATTTCAAAATGTTATCAAAATACTAATTCAACATAAGTATGTTTAAACACAGCAACTTTTTTTAAATACAGTTTTAAAACATTGACGTTAAGTTCTTCTGACTTTTTAATAATAATTGACAGCTTGGTATCTTTCATAGATACTGTTTACAGTTGTTTACTTTACACAATGTTCAATATATTTTTGTAATTACAGCTAATAGGCAAAAGAAATGCTACAACAGTTACGTTATGGAAATGAAAATATGAATTACAGAGCACACAATCCAAGAAATGTTTTAAAATTAATAACAATTTTTGCATATTTAAATTTAATGCACATTGTGAAATACATATTTGTTTTACATTTTATGTACTGTACCTAGTATGCTTCTGGCAAACTAAGCAATTCAAAATACACTGAGAAATTTTCATGGTGAAATTTAACAAGTAGAATGTTTTTATGAAAAGGATAATAGATATGCTAAAGGTTCAAAATCTGCTATGGAGACACCAACTATTTATAAAATGGAAAACATCTAGGAAAAGGAAGATCCCTAAGTCACAAGATATATGCGTTAAATTTCCAAAAATTGTAATTAAGTTTACTGTAATGATCTGTGACCAGCACTTCTAATCCCAACATAACAATTTTGATATTCCTTAACCCATATTGTTACAAAAACTTTAAATTGTATTGATTTATTTTTCCGATTCAACACCGCATTAATTTACTACAATACAAGTATGTGTTAGAAAATACAATTGGTACATTTCACAATATACCATGAAAAGTTTGGTAATTGGGAACTTTTTTGTAAAAAAAAATTTACCATACAAATTCAGACTAGCTACGACATTGACTATAAGTATTTGAATGTGTAAACAGATTGTTCGTTAGGCTCTGTTGTTCGTCTTGAATCAAGAGTACGAAAATGGATTTAAATGTCTTTGTCTCACTCCAGATTTGCAACGTGAAGGCACGAAATAGTGAGCGCGTAACATGCAGGCAACGTCGTATGCGCTCGAAATACGTTGGCAGCACCGGCTGTAAATCAGCTGGTCAACTGTTGTACTGTTGTATTTGTCACTTCACGTTAAATGTTATATTAAAAGTTCACTTCTGTGTAAAAATAGGTTATGTTTCTTCATCAATTTATTTGTTTTATGGTAACTGTAGGAAAAGTATAATGTGCAACTCGAGTTCAAAGTACAATTGCCTCACTCGAGAAACCAACCACGGCTCGTGAGTAAGGATTTCTCTTGAGTGAGTCAATTGCTCACTTTTCTCACTAGTTCCACAAATAACTATTTTCAGTGTTTTTTTAACAATCCAGCTTTTAAACTGTGTCACTATTTCCATTTTTTTATTTTTCTAATGTTATTTTTAGAACTGAAACTTTGAGTTAAAAGCAATCAATTCAATTTATTTATTCAATGTTCTAAACTAATCGATCATACTTACATTTTTTCTGTATAGTGCCTTTTTTCTATTTTGCCAAAATTAGCCGGCTTTGCTTAGAATAAACAAGGCAGCGGAGTGTATCATATGTATGGTACATTAATTTATTAAATAAAATCTGTATGACTATATTTTCAGAGCCAAGGTTAAATAAAAGAGAGTCTCTCACATCAGACACCATATTCAGGCTTATCAGGGAATCTAGTTTTGCAAGTGGTTTGAACAAAACAAAGATGTCATACAACAACACCACCAGAATCCTCGATAGTTTTCTGGAGGAACAAGAAACAAAAGACTGTGGACCAGTCTCAAAAGGAAGCCCTGGATTGAACCTTACGCACAGTAGACTTAGTAATGTGTATATGAACAGAAGAAGAAATTATGTCTTTGATATACCAGAAGAAATTGCTGAACATTCTAACGATAGTGTTGAACATCTTCAGCATTTAAATGTAACACAAAACCACCAAGACACTGTGGCAGAAGAGGATGAAAATTGTGAAACAAGCGTAAACCAAACTAATGTATTTGAAACTCCTCCAATCCTTCGGTTGAATCCTGAGGCTCTTTCTGCAATAACGAATAGAAAACAAAGTCGAAAAAATCTACAAAAATCATAAGGTAAGTTGAAATTATTGAAATATCAATAGGAGGAATATCAATCACTTGGACAATTTCCTTTGTCTGAGAATTTTCACGTTATAGTTTTCAAAAGTTGGGCTCATAGTTTGTATTTTTTTTTTGTCTTTGGCAAGGGGAAGGATTTCAGGTGGCTTCAGCGAAGCTAAGAAATTATTCTTGAATTTATCACGGTAACTGAGAGAAGAAATTCATGATATAGGATAGGAATATACAGTGTACCTCACGCTTGAGGGAAAAATTCCTATGCTTTTGCTTTAATCTATCGAGATCCCAGTTTCGACCTAATGTGATCTAACTGCCGTATAAGCAGTCAAAATAAGCAATGTCTGAGGGTGGAAAGAGACAATGAGGGTCCAAGGTTTAAGATGTTCAAACTGAATCTCCAAAGAACTTGCTTGTCCTGTGAAATATTTTTTACTCCATTACAACCTATCTAGGCCTACTAATTTAAGTGTGTACAATTAATGGAAAATCTCTAACCACTAAAATTTGAGGTATTCAAGTCAAGTCAAGTCAAATAAATCTTTATTCAGACATACAACAATGTGTACATGAATGCGTCTTAATCTTAAACTATAACTAATACTAAAACCATTTCTCGATCCATTTTATTTTATTTTATTTTATTTTTTTTACATATTTACATGTTTATTTACATATTTGAACATAGTGCAGTAAATTCTTCAAAATTATAAAACTCTCCATTAATTAGAAAATTCTTAAGCTTTTTTTTGAACTTATTTCTGTTTTTCTCATTTCTGATGCTACAAGGGAGAGAATGAAAAAATTAACCCCAATATAATCAGGACTTTCTTTAAATTTTTCTTTTTTATGCTTTTTAATTATAAAATTTTGTTTGTGCCTAGTATTGTAAGTATGTACATCCTGCTGTCTTTGCAGTTGTGACTCCCGGCTTTTAATATATAATATAGTCTTATATATGTAGAGGCTGTAAACTGTAAAGAATTCTAATTCTTTGAAACGATTTTTACATGATTCATTTTCATTTAAATTAAGGATGCACCTTATGGCCTCTTTTTGTAAATGTAAAATTTCATTTAAGTTAGATTTATTTGTTCCACCATAAATTTCAATGCCGTAAGCAATATGGGAGTGTATATTTGAATAATAAACCACACGCAAAATTTCTTTACTGCAAAGGGGAAATAATCGTCTTAAAGTAAAAATACCGGAGCTAATTTTATTACATATTTTATCGACATGTGAGGTCCACTTTAGTGTACTGTCCAAGGTTAGACCTAAAAATTTGGTTTCACATGCAAAATTTTCAAATATCTTTTCGCCAGACTTTTTACACTCAAATTTGATGAAGGTTGTTTTGTTTTTATTAAGTAAAAGGTTTTTTTCATTTAAATAATCTCCAATTATTTTGAGCGAATCTTTCATTTTTATTTCAAGAAGTTCAATATTCTTATCATGCATAGACATACTTATGTCATCTGCATACAAGCAGAGGGCATTGTTTTCTACCCGTTCAGATAAATGTTCTGGCATTCCTCCCAAGTAGCACAGGAACAGGAACGGACCCAACACAGATCCCTGAGGAACAGAATACTTAACCTCCCTAACATTAGATCTAACATTGTACATCTTATTTCCATCTAAATACCCAATGTTAACAAACTGTTGGCGGCCCTCTAAATAAGATTTTATCCAGTCCAGTTCTTTACCACTAATTCCATATGCTCTGAGTTTTTGCAGTAACTTTAAATGATTCACGCTATCAAAAGCCTTAGACATATCTAAAAAGGCGCCAACAACATAATTGTCCTCATCCAACTTATGTAATACATTTTCAATATAAGAAATTAGAGCTGTAGTAGTAGATTTATTTTTTCTATATCCATGCTGTTCTTGATATAATAAGTGGTTGTTTTCAAAATAATCTACGAGTTGAAAAAGTAAACTTTTTTCAAATAGCTTTGATAGAGCAGGTTGAATTGCCAATGGTCTATAGTTTTGCGGATCTTTTTTATCACATTTTTTATATACTGGAATTATTTTTGATATTTTTAGTTGAGCGGGGAAAACACCTGTTATTAGTGATGTATTAATCACATGTAAAAGTGGCTTTAACAAAACAGATTTTGATTCTTTAATAATTTTGATTGGAATTTCATCATAGGATTGGATGACCATTTAGGTTTTATTGAATCAATTATGGATGTCAAAATTGATTCATCGATGGTTTGACACCTAAATTTTATGTTTAAAATACTTTTATCAGAATTTTGTTGGGTTTTCTTTAATTTTGGTAAAACATTTTTGTCAACCATCTCAGCAAAATAATCATTTAAGATGTTTGCAACAGCATATGGTTCTTCTATTTTTTTGTTGTTATGTTTGAGTGAAATATTACTATGACATCTTTCTTTTTTACTTTTTGTTTTAGAGTTCACAATTTTCCAAACAGTTTTGTTAACATTGGTAGAATTTCTAATTTTATTGTCAAAATGGTTTTTTTTCTTAAGTTCTATCATTTTTTTGTATCTCTTCTTGTGTTCCTTAATATGATTCTTCAATGCTATGTTACTTCTATCATCTCTATACAAGTCATGTTCTGCAATTATTTCATGATGCTCATTGATAATTTCATCATCAATCCATCCATTATTTACATTACTGGAAACTATTTTTATTTTAGGGAAATGTAAATCGAAGTAATATTTTAAAATGTTATAGAAATAAGTAAATTTGTCTTCCACATTACAGTTGTAAAGTTTTGTCCAATCCTCTTTGGAAAGGTCATAAATGAAAAGGTTAATGCTCTCTTGTTTATACCTCCTTTCATACTTATGTATTTTAAGATTTAAATTGTTTTTTGTACTTTTTGAACTGAGGATTTTAAAAAGTTGTCCATCATGATCTGACAATGCTGTAATTAAACATTCTACTTCAAACAATTTGTTATCTAAATTAGTAATACAATTATCAATGGCAGATACACTCTTTTCAGCAACTCTAGTAGGAATTTTAATTGTATATTTAAAACCATGCATCTGCAAAACATTAACAAACTTCTTTTTCTTATTGTCTTCCCTCAAAACATCAATATTAAAATCACCCCCCAATAAAATTTTTTTGTCAGTTTTACTTAAAATTTTCAAAAGTTCACTTAGTTTTTCCAAATATATATCAACGTCTTGTGATGGTGTTCTATATACCCCAGCCACTAAAAATTTTTCTTTGCCTGCTTTAATTTCTGTTACACAAGATTCAAAGATTTTATCTTGATTAAGCGCCTGTAATGAACTTAGCATTATATTTTTGAATTAAATTTTTTCTGACACCAAAATTAATACTCCCCCTCCCCCGAAATCCGTTCTAGTGTACCAGGTCGAAACTTGATACCCTGGTATTTTGAGTTTTGTTATTTCATGTTGGTTTAATTTATGTTCAGTCAAAATTATAATATGTCGCTTTAATTCTTCAATTGTGATAATTAATGAGTCAATTCTAGTTGCTAGACATTGTATGTTTTGATGGAAGACAGATATACTACATGATTTCTTATCATTATTGATTGTAGAAGTTAATTCTAAAGATTTAGGTAGTACACTCACTTTGCTACCAGACATGGCCATGCCTGGGAGTTTAAAAAGTGACTTGTGGAGGTCTGATTACCAATATCTTTCAGTTGCATGGTTTCACATTCCAAGTTGATTTTTTTGTTTACATTTTCTGAGCTTAAATCTGTTAAAGAGTCATCTTCAGGTATAGGATTTAAAGAAACATTCACTAATTCACCAATCACATGATTGCCCATATCACTTTGAACACCACTTTTTTCTTCTCGAGATGATAGAATGGACTCAGATTCAGGATTGCTGTTGCTCGTCTCAGATTCAGGATTGCTGTTGCTCGTCTCAGATTCAGGATTGCTGTTGCTCGTCTCAGTCAGGGAAGGTGAAGGTACATCAGTCGGCTCGGTAGTAGGGTGGTTGGTGCTAACTGACAGTGTCAGCAATGCAGGTTGTATACTTGATCTTAGATGTTCTTGATCTCCTCTGTCAGCAATACAAATAGTTGTTTCAGTATTTACTCTCTCAGTAGTCTCAGTATTTTTACCACTGGAGTTGTCAACAAAGGCCTTTTGTCCAGCACAGCTCTTGAAGTATTCATCAACTATTATTTGCTTCAGGTACTTTACAAAAGTTGATTGCTTTAATCTATTTTTTAGATATTTGTGTGGGTCTTTTTTGCCTGTTATAATAAAAATAGTAGCTCCCGTTACATTTTGAAATTTCAATAAATTGGTCACAAAATGCTTGGGTGGGACTCGATCACGATTACAACCCATAGTTGAACATATCAGAATTTTCAGATTTTTAGCCTTGAAATCTTCCGCTAGTTGAGAAAAGGCTAGATTGTAGTTATTTTTATATTCAGTCAAGTTGTTGAAATTTTGAAAATATTTAGGTTTTGTAATAAGACTGTAAACAGCTGCTCCCATTTTAGTTTTTTGATATGTCAAATGAGTGAAACAATGGTCCTCCTTAGTTGGTCTTCCAAATTTGTCTCTGAACACAGTCGCAACCCCTTGACTCATATTTTTCTCTGTATTGTCGAGATCTGCTGAAATACAGTGTGCATATGAAACTTCTGATCTACTGCAATATTTGTCAATATAAGTGTCCATAGAATCCTCAACTACTTTTAAAAATATTTTCGATTCTATTTCTTTCAATCTTTTTGTAAGGGTCAGGTTTGAGGCAATGTCAGCAATTCTTCTGCTCAGCAACTGTTTTCCGTGTTTGTTCAAGTGTTGCCCATGAATGGTGAAAAATCTACGTTTAAAATCACAAATTAAGATGTCTCATTTTTTCAATTCACTGTTGACTGCATATGTTTCTTTATTAATAGGGTGGTCCCAAGATAAGTCAAAACGGTAGGGCAGCGTAACGTAAATGATGTTTGTTTGGCTGTTAGTTGTGGCAAATTTGTTTAAGACCGCTGGA